ACCTAGGGAGGTGGTGGAGTCTCCTTCCTTGGAGGTTTTTAAGGCCCGGCTTGACAAAGCCCTGGCTGGGATGATTTAGCTGGGAATTGGTCCTGCTTTGAGCAGGGGGTTGGACTAGATGACCTCTTGAGGTCCCTTCCAACTCTGATATTCTATGATTCTATGATCAGCGCCAAGCCCAGCGTGGCACCCGCTGAACCTGGCGTGACCCCCCCCCGGCCGCACTTAATGGCTAATGAAAAGGAAATGTCGTGGGAGATGCCGGGGCCATGAGTCACTTCTCCGGCGCCCGCAGTCTGGGCTGGGCAGCCACCCGCTGGCACCACCGCGGGGAGGGGGCAATGCCCACGCCTGGGCGTTGGAGCTGGGGGGGGGCCTGGAGCAGCATCTGGGACCCCCACATGGGAGGAGCTGTTCCTTCACTGGGCAGTCCCTTCCACCCCCCTCCCCCGCAGCACCCTGGCCCCACCAGCCTAGGGAGGGGGCAGGAATGTCTGAGACACCCCAGGTGACGGGGCTGGAGCGGGGCACGGGGTGCCCATCGCTAGGAGACCTGCACCTGGCCCCTCCCCCGACCTCCCCCAGCAAGCCCACGCCTGCACCTGGACACCTCCCACCCCCCTCCGCACAGCACACGACCTGTCCCCCTTGGCCTGACCCCCAGGGAACAGGGGTCTGCTGCTGCCCCAGCCAGGCGGGCATCCGTCTGTCCCCACAGCCCAGCCCGCCGTGCACCGGCCAGGCCACACCTGCGGGCTGCCCAAGCCAGGGCCCTTGGCTGCGAGGGAGTCCCGCCGGCTGGCAGCACCAGGCCCTGGCTCAGACTCCCTAGAAACAGCCCCACTGCGGGCAGGTCTGTGGGGAGCCGGGTGCCGTGGAGACAGAGCCTTTCCCCCCGGTGCCAGGGGCAGGAGAAAATGCCCCAGCCAGCATCGCCAGTGTGGGTGGTGCGGGGGGCACAGGGGAGTGCAGAGCCCCACACAGCCTGGGCCTGGGCACTGCCACACCGCAGGCTCCCGTCCGGGGAGGGGCTCTCAGCAGCCACGGGGCCTGGGCAGGGGGCCGGCTGGGCACAGAGGACAGGCGGGTGCCTGTGGGGCAGAGAAAGCAACGCCTGGATCGGGGACCCTGCGGGGAGTCAGGGAAGAGACAGCGCACGGAGCTGGGCTCCACCACGGGGCTAAATGGGTGACGGGGGGGTGGAATCCAGGAGCCAGGACCCCCCGTCTGGCTGCCTCCCCTCCAGCCCCCCCGCCAACAGAGTTACTAAAACGGCCCTAACGACGTGGTTGATTAACAAATGATCAACTAGCAATTGTGGTGCTCGGAGCGGTAATTGCTGCTGCTAATTGGCTGGTTAGGATTTAATCAGCAATTACATGGAGTGCAGGGCAGTAATTAAGTGCCTCCTCGCACAGTCCCCCGATCCCGCGTTTTCCGGATCCGGCACCTCCAGACCCCCGGTTCTCCCAAATCACGTGCAGTCCCATGGGGCTCAGAGGGGCCTGGGGGCTGCGCACACAGACGAGGGTGGGGCAGGAGGGTGCACAGAGAGCCAGGGTGGGGCAGGACGTGCATAGATGGGGCAGGGACAGGGCTGTGGGGCAGGGTGCCTTGGCGGGGGGCGGCACCTCTCTGGGAAGGGCAAGCCCGTTATCAATCCTGATGCCGCCCGGAGCCCCCTGGCCCCCGAACAGTCTGTGCTGGTTGGGGGGCAGTGCCAGGGCCAGTTGTGTGAGGTGAGGACACTCAGTTCACCCGCCGTGGCCCCTGGGCCAAGCCTGAGCCAACAGCAGCCCGGCCCGAGGGGCAGAGGCGAGTCCAGCTGAGCCCTGTGGCCAAGGACCCTGCTCCAGTTTGGGCCGGGGGGGTGGCTCCCGCAGCCAGGCCCAGCGGGGCAGCCGGGGGACATGCCCAAGGCCCCCGGGATGCCCAGCGCACGGAGATGTCTCTTCCCTCTGGAACGGGATCCGCTGCAGCAGCCCGGGCGGGCGGGGAGCTGGGGGAGCCGGGCATCCGGCCCTGTAGACGAGCTCTCCTCAGAGCCCACCGTGCTGCCCCCGACCCGGCCAGGGGAGGCCTGTGCTGAGCCTGCCGCTCGCTGCCCTGCCCGCGCTGCCAGGCACAGACGGGGCTGCCTGCCCGCCCACCGGAGAGGGGACGCTGCTGGAGCAGACCCAGCTGCAAGCCCCGGCCCTGCCACCCGGCCCGGCTGCGCCGCGGCCTCCCGCTCCCGTCTGCCACCAGCCGAGGCAAGGTGCTGCAGCTAATTTCCATGGGGAAGATAAACAGCAGCCATAACGCGCCATTAATCCCCCATCCGCACTTTTACAGCCTCGCTGGCAATTCATTCAATTAACCCCCCTGTCCTGGGGAGAAAGGCATTTCCTACTTCACAGACTGAACGACCCCCAGCTGCAGCCTGGGCCAACTGGAGACTCACCCGCACACACACACACACACACACTGCGGTCTCACCCGCACGCACACGCACACACTGCGGTCTCATGCACACGCACACACACACACACTGCGGTCTCATGCACACGCACACACACCCGCACGCACACTGCGGTCGCACCCGCACACCCGCACGCACACTGTGGTCTCACCCGCACACACGCACGCACACTGCGGTCTCACCCGCACACACACATGCACGCACACTGCGGTCTCACGCACACACACACACACGCACACTGCGGTCTCACGCACACACACATTGCGGTCTCACGCACACATACACACTGCGGTCTCACCCATACGCACACACGCACG